CCGTTTCGTTTTGAAAATGATTGGTTGGACTCTCCCATATTGCTTCCGCTGGTTGGTGGCCTTCAAATGATATGAATGGCTGGCCTGGTTACGCTTGGAGAAACTAAGAGGGTCGAGGGGAGGGGGTATTGTTCAAGTGGAATAAGGAAGTTTTTGGGAACATTATTTCAAAATGCCATTGATGACAGATAAAAAGAGCTGTTAGTCTGGAAGTCCTTGATCCTAAAGGCCATTTGGAACTTTAGATATCCAAAGAAGATAAAAGTCTTCTTGTGGTCATCGGCTCATCAAGGGCCGAACACACATGACAGATTTCATAAAAGATGCAAAAATTGGGTGCTTTCTCTCCCTCGGTGTGCCCGCTGGGCAAGGCAGATTAAGAGTCTTTAGATCATATCTTTCTTGCCCATAGAGTCTTTAGATCATATCTTCCTTCATTGTTCTTACGCCAAAACTTGTTGGTCCCTCCTCTTCCAAGCTTTCAACTTTAGTTGCTGCCTTCCAAGGACAGTAGATGAATGGATTCACATGCTCTTATGGATGGAAGCTTCAAGCACACAGCTAGATCACTTGCTTTGGAAATATGGTACAGTGGCTTTATTGTGGAATGTATGGATTGAAAGTAATCAGCGATCCTTCAAGAATATTTCTTCTAACTTCTCAAACTTTTGGAGCATTATATAGCTCACAACTTCTAGGTGGTGCTACACTTATAGCAAATTCTTTTGTAATTACTCCCTCAATTCGTTCCTCCAAAGTTGGAGTGCTTTCTTGAACTAGTTCTAGTGGGAGGGGGCTCCCTCTGCCCCCTTCCCCTGCAGGTGTAACTCTTTTTTTGTGAATAATATATTCCTTAGGTTTCTTATAAAAAAAAAGAAAACAAGAAAAAGGAGGACTCAGATCTCCTCACTCCTGATTTGATTAGAATCGAGAAAAAGAGATAGGCTGAAGGTGGATCTTATCGGCATGGTCATGAAGGAGCAATATCTTTGGCCCATAAATGTAAAATTAATTGATTGAAGGAGGGGGATGAAAATTCTAATTTTTTTTACAGATGGACCTTGTTTTGCAAAAATAAAAATTTTATTTTGTCTTTATAGAACGAGGAGGGATGCCGTCTTACTAATCAAATTGACATAGAGAGGAGGAGATTATTCACTATTTTGTTAATTTGTATAACGGTAGAGAGGATTAGTGCTTCATTTTTTAGAATTTTGATTGGGCACACTTGAATGAGGTCTCCAAATTTCAGTTGGAGGCCCCTTTTACCGAGGAGGAAATTCACAAAGGCGTAACAAAGTTAAGATGTTTTAAGTCATTGGGTCCGAATTGGATGAACAACGAGTTCTTTGAAAAGGCTTGGAACGTCTTCAAAGCCGACTTAATGAAGGTGTTCCAGATTTTTTTGAGAATAAACGTACCAACGAGACCTACATTTGCCTCATTTAAAAAAACAGCCTCCTTGGTGTGTGTTAAACATTATAGACCAATTAGCCTCGTCACATCTTTATATAAGATTATTGCAAAAGTGTTGTCTACGAGACTAAAGAGAGTTCTTCCTTTGATCATCAATGATACCAGGCTGCTTTTGTTGAAGGACGACAAATTCTCGATGCGATTATCACAGCTTCTGAGGCAGTGGGGAACTGGAAAAAGGACAAGAAGAAAGGCTTTCTTCTGAAGCTTGATTTCGAGAAAGACTATGATAAAGTTGATGTCTTTCCTTGATGCGGTGTTGGAGAGTAAGGGCTTTGGGATTACATGGAGAAGGTGGATCAGGGGATGTGTCTTCAACGAATTTCTCGGTGTTCATAAATGTCACCTAGGGGAAAGATAGTGGCTAATAGAGATCTCCAACAGGGTGACCCTTCGTCTCCTTTCTTGTTCACTATTATCGGAGATGCTTTGAGTTGTTTGATTCACTTCTGTTGGGAGAAGAAGATATTGAGAGGTTTCTCCTTTGGGCAAATGAGGTGGAACTGACACATCTCCAATATGTAGATGACGTGTTGATCTTTAGTCCCGATCTTCCAGATATGTTGGTGTTTGGGTTATTCCTCAATGTTGGTAAGACGTCCTTGATTGGTATCAACTGTGATGAGGCTTTGGTGGTGCAGTGGATCCTCGGTTGTAAGATGGAGAGCTTGCCTTGTTCCTTTTTGGGTTTTCCTTTGGGAGACAAAGCCGTCAGTGGGAACCTTTTAAGTTGATAAATTTTGAGAAGATTGATTTCTGGCATCCGGGTAACGGGAATGACCTTATGTGGTGGAAGGCTGATTGTGGTGGGGTGTTTCGACCAAGTCAATGTTTTTGTTTCTATCCAAGCCTTCACCTAAATTGAAAGATCCAGTGGTTTCCTACATTTGGAATCATTTGGAATTTAAAAGTTCCCAAGAAGGTGAAGTTTGTTTTATAGGAGTCTAAATATTGCTGAAGTCTTTCAGACACATTTTCCTTCTTGGTCTTTATCCCCTTCGTGTGCCCTTTATGTAAAGGGAAGGAGGAAACATGTGATCACTTGTTCCTTCATTGCCCGTTTGCTGCCAAGAGTTGGGCCTTTGTCTGTTAAGAGTTTAGGCTCTCCTGCCTCCCTCAGTAAGATTGATGACCTCTTTCTTGAAAATTTTGGGGGAGGCCTCTTATAGGCAAAGCTTTTATGTTGTGGAACTATGCTAGGGCTGTTTTATGGCTTATTTGGAAAGAAAGGAATAATATTCTTTTTGAAGATAGAAAGTCCTTAGAGGATGTTTTTTTGTAGCGATGTACAACTTATTGCTTTATGGTGGATGATTAACCACAAAAATTATTTTGTAACTATAGTCTACACTTGATTGTTAGGAATTGAAAGGTTACTACTGTCTAGTTTTGGAGGGAGGGTGATTTCAACCCTGCACCCTCAGGTTGTTCTTCCTCTTTTGTGTTTCTTTGAATATATTGTCTCTTATCCCAAAAAAAAAAAAACAGAAGAAGAGTTGAAACGATGTCATCCGATGAATCACTCAGAGGAGAAGCCATAAGCATATCTAAAGAAGGGCTGGGTGTGGAGTCCCCATCCCTACCAAAAAGAAGAGAAGGTGGGTGGTTTAAAAAGGTTACAAATGGGCTGGATAGATGGTCGTTGGGGCTTGAGGTTCGTGTAAAAGGAGGCTCGAGTTCGGATTGTTTTGTTCTTTTGGGCCCAAAAGACAAGGCCAACCCTAGTTTAATTTTGGTGAAATGTCTTGGTTTTGTAGAAATCAGTTTAGATACCCCCACTTTCGAATCGTTGGAAAATCGTCGATTCAACCCGTGGAGTGAGGAGGGGCATCTTCTTTCAACAATAGACCCCTCTATTGTGAGTTTCTCGGATGATGATTCGTTCCTCTCATCGTTGGTGTTGAAGACTCCAAGTTCTTTTGGTCTTGGCGTTTTGCTCGGAGGAGAAGATTTTGCGGCGGTTCGCAGTATTCAGAGTTTGTGGACGGTGACAAAAGAGAGGAATCCGAAGCTTTATGTAGTGGAGGGCCCATCGTTACGCCTGATTTAGTTGAAAGTGCCTTGCTCGAATTTTGGTGATGAATACCCCAGTAAGCCAACCAAGACGTGTCCTTCATATTCCTTGGTTTCTTTGCCTTTAGAAGCGAGGTGTTCGGTTGGGTAGTGTTTGAAATGAGCACATGTGTGTTTGGAGAGTTGAAAAATTTCACATTGGAAAAGCTGGCTCTTTTTATTGAGAAATAAAGAAGGGAACAAATGTTCAAGGTATGCAAAGTTGGGATGACCAAGACGATAGTGCAACGTCATGACAAAACTACTATCTTTATTTGAATTATTCAAAGACTTATAAATACAAGTGGACTCACGATGGGATAGAACCACAAGTTTATTGCTTCTCTTTGTTGGTAGAGTACGCGTTACTTGAAGAAGATACAACCCTGCACATAATTTAGCATTGCCAATCATCTTCCCTGATCCCAGGTCCTGAAAAATACAAGAGTTGACACAAAATTTAGTTTCACAATTTAAGTCCTTATCGAGCTTACTCATAGACAATAGATTATAGTCCAACTGATTCAAGAGTTAAGGAGCTTGATATTTGAACACTTCCAATCCCAATTACTTTAACAAGTGTACGATCGGCAACGTGAACAAAATGATTACCCGTATAAATTAAAAAAGATGAGAACAAGGATCTATCACCTGTCATGTGATCTGATGCTTCAGAATCCACTATCCATTCAGATGGAAAAGTTTTGAGTATGGAGAGCCATGGGATTTTGGTTACCTTGTTGGGGCACATGCCCAGAACTACTTACTGTCGGTGGTTTTGTTTTGTTCAAGAGTTGTTGTAACATGTCCAACAAATCTTTGGTAAGTGGTTGGTTAGAACTTTCAGAGATGTTTTGTTCAAGAGTTGTTGTAACGTCCAACAAATCTTTGGTAAGTGGTTGTTGGTTAGAACTTTCAGAGACAGCAGCATTGCCCCTAGGTTCTTGATCCGTCTTGGCAGTATTTGGCTTCCAATCTGCTGGTTTCCCATGTACTTTCCAACAAGTGTCTTTGATATGTCCCAGTCTATAGTAATGGTCACACCATGATGGCCCTTTGTGCTGCTGACTG